CCTTTGGCCCCGCCCCGTGATTCCCGGAGGCCCCGCCCCTCCCCACCTGCAGCTCATCCAGGCCATTTCCAGGGGCTTTTCTGTGCAAGTGGCCTCTCGAGCCTCATGCTTAGGACTTTCCTAAAATCTCTCAAACAAGCAGCAGCATGCCCCATACAGTTTGATAAGTGGCCCCAGGCCTGGCACTAGTGGCAGCCTGCACTGGCTCATAGCTTGGCCTCTCCTGGACACCTCCAAGCCCAGCACAAGTAGCAGCCAACTACAGTTTGCTGTGCAGCTCATGCTGGGTGGCCCTGGGCAGGGCTCTGGCACAGGCTGACTTTGCACCTCCCGGGAGGCCTCAGAGACAGTGCACCTGGTGATCAGACTCGACCACACTGGATTACAACCCTACCACACCCACGAGTGACATTCAAGGGGCACACTTGGTGAACACCAAAGCCCAACTGAAGTAAATCCTGCTCCATAGGGGTGTCTCCAGCACAGCAGCTCTTTCACTGTAGTTGGGGCTGGTCCTCACAGCTGGTTGGTCTGGGAGTCAGTTCCTCCAGTGACACCAACAGCAACCAAGGCTCAACTACAACAGGACAGTGCACACAGCCCACACAGGGGAGCACCTCGAAGGCACAGCTCAGGTGACTGGGGAGGCTGAGCCACTGGACCCTACAAGACACCTACTACACAAAGCCACTCTACAAATTCCAGGACACATAGCAGCTCTACCTAACACATAGGAACAAACACCTGGAAGCAGCCAAAATGGAGAGGCAACAACACATGTCACAAAGGAAAGAACAGAAGAAATCTCTAGAAAAGGAACTAAATGAAATAGATCTAAGCAAGCTAACAGATACAGAGTTCAGAACAATGGTTATAAGGATGCTCAAGGATATTAGTAAGAGTATGGCGAAAATATTTGAGAAAATCAATGACATAATAAAGTACCAATTTGAAAGGAAGGCTACACAAACTGAAATGAAGAATAATTTACAGGGAATCAACAGTAGAGTAAAAGATGCTGAGATTCAAATCAGCAATTTGGAACATGAAGAAACAAAAACACCCAACCAGA